AACCAAGCCTATATCTCGAAGAATGCGATTACTACGACCTGAACGATATAAACCGCCCATTATGTCGTATTATTGATATTATTTGAATATCAGAGACAGAGAGAGAGAGAGAGAGAGAGAGAGAGAGAGAGAGAGAGAGAGAGAGTATGCGAATTATTAATAAAATCAGATATAAGAAGACGATTGGTTTCTGCATTATACAAAAAAGATTATTTCATATATCGTACATATTTTCAAGATTTTCCGTACTGCATTTCTCGCATTTTTCGCGTTCCGAAAGAATATTTCTAATTGATCATTTTTTATCGTACGATATTTATTCCAATATATAAAATAGTCGAAATGAAAAATCAAGTATAATTCATTGAAAATTATTATTAAACGTACTATCTTTGAAGAAAATACTATTATCATATAAATAATGATCTGTCTATATAAAAAGAGTGATTTTAAATATATTATTATATGTAGAAAATATATATTTTGATAAAATAAATTATTTGTATTATTTTTACTGTGTGTATAAAAAATGTGGTAGCATATCTTTTAAAATGTATCATAATTCAACGAAGCTAGTAATATTAGTTCATATCTTGATAATCTCTTTCATAATAATTTTATCTTATTAAGTATACACTTTTATTAACAGTGTTCAATCTTATGAAAACTTATTCTAACTAGAGATTTTATGAAAATATTTTTTATGACTGTCTATACACACTAGAATGGTCGTTATTTTAACAATTTAATCGGGACACCCCCTAATGTGGTTCAATATCTCGAAAAAATAACACCATATTTTTTTCAAATTTTTTGAACAATTTTAATCCGTTGCCACCGGAGCATGGGTAGGTGGAAAAACACCTTTGTGAACAAAATTCGGCCGACGTTCTAATTCTTAACCAATTTTAAAGTTTTTTTTTAATTTGCTCGAAATTGAATAAGTTGTAAGCCCATTTTGTGAAAATTTTGATTACGGTCCAAAGTAAAAATTGTCGACCCAATGAAATGAACAGAAAAAATCAAAATTACACGGTAACGAATATTGTATTGGCAATTTTTAATTTGGCCCGTAATCAAAATTTACGCAGAATGGATTTATAAGACATTTAATTTCGAACAAATTAAAAAAAAAACTTTAAAATCGGTTAAGAATTAGAGCGTCGGTCAAATTTTTCCGCTCATTGCGCAAAGTCTTGAAATTTAGTATTGCTTTTTAATGGGAATTTTTTTTAAATAGTCTTTTGACAGCTCATAGTTATCAATATTTCTGTAAACTTCATGAAAATAAAGTTTTCAGAGTTGACAGTGTTACAAAGCTACTATGACAGTTGACAACTGTCTGAATAAAAAATATATAAGTAATAACAAATTTATTTATTGCATCGAATATTATAAGGTTAATCAAATTTTACAAAATGTTTCAAATTTCAGTCTCATATAATCTCTAATGATTAACCATATAATGATTAACCATATAGTGATGATATTTTTTATTCAGACAGTTGTCAACTGTCATAGTACCCTTGTAACGCTGCCAATTACCTTTGAAAACTTTATTTTCATGAAGTTTATAGAAATATTAAAAGCTGAGTTGTCAAAAGACTATTTAAAAAAAAATTCCCATTAAAAAACAATACTAAATTTCAAGACCTTGCACAGTGAGCGGAAAAATTCGACGCTCTAATTTTTAACCGATTTTAAAGTTTTTTTTTAATTTGCTCGAAATTAAATGTGCTATAAGCCCATTCTGCGTAAATTTTGATTACGGGCCAAATTAAAAATTGCCTAAAATATAATATTCGTTATCGTGTAATTTTGATTTTTTCTTTCGGGTTAAAATTGTTCAAAAAATCTGAAAAAAATATAGTGTTATTTTTTCGAGATATTGAACCACTTTAGAGAGTGTCCCGATTAAATTTCAAAAATTGTTAACATAATAACCTTAACACACATACACAGAGAGAGAGAGAGAGAGAGAGAGAGAGAGAGAGAGAGAGAGAGAGAGGGTGTCTCGTAAAGACCGAAACAACGCTTAAGGGAAGACTTAGATTATTTTAAGAAATTACGAAAATTCTATTATATCTAATATCTATTATATCTACACTGAAAAAAAGATTGGCTGCTGCAGCAAATTAGATGGTAAAATATGACATAGCATTTTTAATTGGCTGCAGCAGCCAATTTTTGGTTGCATTAGCCTATCTGCAATGTCAGTATAGGATTTCAATAGATTAACACAATCAAAAATAGACTGCTGCAACCAATTAAAAATAATATGCCATATTTTACCATCTAATTTGCTGCAGCAGCCAATCTTTTTTTTCAATGTATTATATTGTATTATATCTATTATATTTGGTATATTAGATTTTAGATATAATAGATATTATATCTAAAATCTAATATACCAAAATGTTAAGGCTATAATAGCTCTTTGAATTATAAGCATTTAAAGTTAGCGAATTATTCCGTCTAAAGTTTGCGCGTTCGAGTATATTACAACGACGCAAAATGCTAAAAATGAAAGCTGATTATTGCCTTTTGTAAATATCGATATAAAGATTATGAATGCAAAGATATTTCTAATTATTAATATTTATTATGTTAAAAAAATATTTTCCCTCGTTATTTTGATATTAGGATTTTCGTCTCAAAATGATTTCAGGAATTTCCTCTTAAGCGTTGTTCCGGTCTTTACAGGACGTTTTGTATATACATTTACTATAAAATTAATACTTTGACTGTGACATATACATCATTTATTTAAAAGAAAATAGAATTGGACAATCTAACATATATCAGATAAGAAAGTAACAGAATTTTTATCGAAAAATTAAAACTGTATATAAGCTGTGCGAAAGTTTTTTGATTTAAAATATCAGCAATAAAGTTTTGGAAAGCTATAATTTATATCAGTATGCAATAATTTGTATAAATATAAGTCGTAATCGCTAATATATTTAAATAGAAGATCGCGAAGTAATGAATGAAGAAGTATAGCTCTTTATCATCAGTATACGTACGGCGTATGGAATTAAATGTGTAATTGTCTATCAGCCACGCTTTTTCGTACCTGTGTATAATTTAATATTTTCTGTAAAATGTCCCAGAAGATATTTACGTATCATGATAAGAAAGTTAACTTAGAGAAAGTTATTATTCGCGTAAGTATTCTGTGTCGCTGATTACAATGTAAAAATAAAATATGAGACATGAAAAGAATCCACAAATTTTACAGGGGAAAGTATTTAACAGATAAGATTGACACGTAAGATGGGTGCGATATTATTAAAAAATAATGGAGTGAATGTGGAATGTACAGATTAAGTGTCCTCTATATTGAGAAAAGTGGACAAGCAATATTATAATGTAGACTGTAACAATCTGTGCAAACGGTACAAAAGTTATTGTAACATAGACTTTAACAAATCTATGATATAAGTAATATTATAAAATAGATTTTAACGATAAGTAAGTTGTAAACGTTTATCTTATGATAATCGTTTTACAGCTATTAAAAAGACAATGCGACAATGAATTATTATATAAGACAACACATAAAATCGTGTGAAATAATGGAACATTTTTTAAATAGTAGAATCTAAATTTCTTTAGCATTACAGTAAAAAGAATATAGCACTGATACATTTTCTGATCTGCATTTTTTAAATAACATTATTGTTCCCGTAATTTAATAGAAACAATTTTACCAATTTGAGTCTCGTTTACTGTATTTTTTGTCATATACTTATGAAAAAATAAAGACATTCTTAAACTATCTTTTTAAATAAAGTTTTTAAATAAAATTAATTTTTATACAAAAGAACGATAACGTATATGAATATTTTATGAATATATTATATTATATGAATATTTTAATGATTTAAGAAGAAGAAACAACAATAATTATATGGGGAAAACGAACTAAAATGTGATAATATTTAACTATCTGTGACACTTAAAAAAAAACGACAGATATACTTAAATATCGATGTCTGACGCATTTAATATTTGTATTGCAAATAAATCAGATCAGTAAGATAAATCAATTGATACATTATCTAAAACGAGAAGATACATATTTTATTTATTCCACATAGACGAATCTGCAGATGCGTCAACAGGTTCATAAACGCATTAACGTGTCGTTCATTGTTTTTTCCAGACTCAACGCAGTACAGCATGTCGGATTACTACAAGAGACTGGGTAGACACTTTTGTTCGAAATGTGGAAAAGAATACAAATGGATGCAGTCATTGGTCAGACACGAACGGGAAGAATGCGGAAAAGATCCGCAGTACAGTTGTTATATATGCGGTGCAAAAATTAGACATAAGTGGATGCTGAAGAAGCACGTGATCAACGTTCATCGCCTAGTCATTTCGAATGGCAAGAACATTTGGAATGATCAACAATAATCAAGAAAATCTACATAATACTATCATAATCATATACATAATCAATAGATCTGTTTTTATTCCTGCACTAGACTACACTAGAATTTTCTTTCTCGCTTTCATTAAATGTCAAACATGTATCTATTTCACTTTAAGTTCCAAAAGTATACTAGTTCAGCTATAATAGCGAAAACAGATTTAATAAATTTATCGCGCATGTTTTTATTTTTCATTGATTTAATTTTTTGTTTATAACGTGTATATATATATACATATTATTTAATGTTAATATTTCAATATTTTTATTTTTAATTTCAAAATATTAATTTTTATATGTAATATATAATATTTTATATATATAAATTTAATATTTTAAGAAATTTAATATACAATTTTTTAAGCAATTTTTTTTAACAGATGAAATTTAAGGTAATAGAAACAATCTCACATATCATTATCTGAATTTTCTATTATTTGAATTTATATTATTTGCATTTGATTTCATTCAATATATTATTGAATGAAATCAAATCCAGATAATATAAATGAAAATAAGTATATCTACATGAAAGTTTTTCATCCATAATAATAGAATAACATTTTTGATGAAAATAATGTTTAATATAATTAATTTTATGTTAATTTGTATATATTATTTGTATAGTTTATATTGTACATATTCTATATAATATTATATTTTTATTTAGAGAATGAAATATTATTGAAGATAATTTAATTTCAAATACGAATGATCTTTTTATAATATGCATTTTCATAACATCTTATTATTACTTAATATAAAAAAAATTGTGTTTGCATTACTATATTTCTGATAATGAAGCCAATGTTTATAAAGAGAACAACAATTTTTGGTAATTATTTTGATAATAAATGTATCATATTCATTCGTAAGATAATTATTATCACATTTTATTATAAATATTTATGTGTAATTTAATCATTGTTTAATCATTGTTAGTTAATCATTCCTTTAGCAGGCCTTATACTTTCTTCGTACGATTTATATAAAACAATTTAAAAGAAAGAAGAGACTGATTATCGAAATAAAAATTATATATATGCATAAAATACAAATATTTCCATTGTCTTCTTCTCCTATACGAATATGAGGAACATATTGCAAGAGTAGAAAATAGATGCTATAAAACAAAAATATGTGAAGATTGTCGACTGTCCTAATTTCCCACATTCCTCCTGAAATTCTTAAATTTCTATCGAAAGACTCAAAATTGCAAATCTGTACATTTAGATTTTAAAATTGTGCTTAAAAAGAATCTTCGAAGAAACTCAATTTACATGAACTATACTGGTAAAATCTAAACCAGATGACAAACTTAAGAAACTACTATTCTCTTTTGAGAAAATAAAAAAGAGCGCATTAATAAATTGCTACAGCACGACGAAGAACTAAGAAAGAATATAGATCTGACTGTGAGATTGCAGCTAAGAGCACACGCTAACATTGTGCTTTTTTTTCAGGTAACGATGATGGGTCCTATAGGCTTCAAAATTATCATAGGCGATACCACGGCAAATACACCTGCGATGCATGCGGTAAGGAGTACACATGGAAACCATCTCTGACGAGGCATAAACGAGAGGACTGCGGTAAGAAGCAGCACTATCCATGTCCAGTGTGCAATACAACGCTCCGGCGTAGCCGTCAGCTCAAACTACATTTGATTCACGTTCACAACTGGAACAAACCTGAATACATAATGCAATAATAAAGTAAGATAAAAATGACGTTGTATTATTTTTTTTCATCCAATAGCAGCTTTAGGGCGACTTGAACGATGCCCTTGCATAAGATGTCCAAACAAGATTTCTCACGTCTAGTGTTTGCTTATGTAACTGAAAAGTACCTATTTATTTTATCATTCTCTCTCTCTCTCTCTTTCTCTCTCCCCCTCCCTCCTCAGTCTCCCAAAAATTTACTCTCATCAAATAGACGCTAAATTGCAAAATAAATAAAAAAGTCACTTTTTTGACGTTAAATAAGTCTGGAATTGATTGGATTCGACTTTACGAAATGTAAGGATTTTCTGCCATCATCTTGAATCACAACTAGATAAATCAATTGCACAATAAATTTTTTTTGTATTTTGTTTAGGAAATGTAAATTACATAGCGTTATTATATAAGAAAAGTGTACAGTTTGTTGTTTCTTCTCAAACTGGATCCCCAAATCAAGTAAACGAACACAAACAAACACGAATAAACGAGTATTTTGTTTGCTTGGACTTAACTCGATTTAAGGCGATGCTGGCGTCATCTGTTTTACAAAAATATAATTTTTGTTACATGAGATATATTTAGTATTATAAGTTTCATAGATTTAAAATTCTTTTTTCAGGATTAAAATATACATGTTAATGTTTATAGCTTCAGTCTATTTTGTGCTAAAACCAGGAAAAAAAATAACGAAATTACAAATTTTCTTAGTGACTTTTATACCTCAATATGACGATTAAAGCTCAGTTTATCAAAACATTTACTCGTGGAAAGGTTGGTGCAGATCACATATGTGAAATAAAAGCAGATCCAGATGTAAAATAAATAAATGAGTAATGATAAATCGATAATAGAATTAAGTTTGGAAGTCTATTTAAAATATTCCCTTTTTGTATAAATTGTGTATACATATATGTGCGTGCGATATTAATATATGTAATGTTCATGATGTGTCGATGTTTTATAAATGTATGCGTGTAACTCGCATTTAATCAGCTCTCCTGTCAGAATTTGACTATTATGCCAGGCGCCAGCATGTGCCTTTAATAATCATTTGCATTTAATTTAAAAGTAATGCATATATTGAAATAATAAATATTTTATACTCTAGGAAAATTGTGTAGAATATGAAGTTTTTACAACATTTGTTATTTTTGTTTTCAATATGAATATAATATTAAGATCGATAATATGATGGCAGAGAATGTAGATAGTGCAGAAATAAAATACACGCTGTTTATAAACTCATTTTTGCTAGAAAAAAAACTGTGAAACTATACTAGTATTCTGATTTCAAATTTGCCTTTAGAAAAACCCAATTGATTAACGGTGGCAGAATTTATAGACGACAAACTTAATCGAATAATTTCATTTTGTCAAAGAAATAAAGAAGCGTTCTAATGAACTTGAACGCGACTGAGAAAAAGAACATAAATTTTACAAGGCTATAGTGATTAGAATACATTCTAATGGCGTATTCTTTTTTAGGTAAAGCCAGACGTAATAAGTGTCCATGGTAGACAACGATATATCTGTGATGCATGTGGTAAATGGTATAAACATTCTCTGATGGCGCATAAACGCAAGGAATGCGGTAAGGAACAGCAATATGCGATAAAAGATTCAGACTCGTGGATCTGAAAATATATCATATGACATTTCGAATATATTATCTGTGAAAAGGAAAAATTTCTTTGAATGCTAATTTGAATGTTAATTTCATCAATTTATTCGTATTTGACATGCCAATCAAAGTTTCGGTATAGCCATCAATAGAGACGACATTTAAAATACACATTCCGAACTGAATGAATAATGCGGAAAATAAAATTAAATAGTAAAAAGAAGGCATTGTGCCATATTCTAATTCTTTTCTTCTTCATTTGAATGTCAGTTTGTTAAACCAGTTTGTTGTACTCTGTTACTTTTCAATGATTGTATTTATCCTAAAATATACGAATTTAACATCGCTAGAGTAAAGAGTTTTGTGTTCTATAAAATTGTGTGTGTGTGTGTGTGTGTGTGTGTGTGTGTGTGTGTGTGTGTGTGTGTGTGTGTGTGTGTGTGTGTGTGTGTGTGTGTGTGTGTGTGTGTGTGTGTGTGTGTGTGTGTGTGTGTGTGTGTGTGTGTGTGTGTGTGTGTGTGTGTGTGTGTGTGTGTGTGTGTGTGTGTGTAAAGTGAAGTTTTGTTTATATACGACGTCATTGAAAAAGTTAGTTCTTTTATTTTATATTTGTGTTTTTATATTTATTGAAGTGTATGTGTGTATATCAAGTATAATTAAGTATATCAAGTATATTCCAAAAATTAATTATTTTGATGAAATAGTGGTGACGAGTTAGGAATATTTTTACTCTGGGTTAATTATAAAAAAAAACTTTTTAATCAAATATTTATTGCATCAGATTGAATAACTCTTCGCTCAAACATACAAAATTATTTTCTAAGATTACGTACATTCTAAGATTATTTAAAATCACATGAAGAGTTTATTTACTTTGCAGTTTAATTATTTTAAAGAAATCATTGTTGCGTTGTATTGACTATGCTGTTAATTTTTTAAGCAGTTCTAGATTTGAAAAATCAATATCGCTAATTTGCCATGGCTACGGAAAAATTTTTTTGTGGAGGAAGCATTTAGAACTGCATATAAAAAAAGGATACGGAATCTAACAAAAGAATGAATGCATTTTACTGCGATCGAAAGTTCAGATGGAAGATTAATCTCAAGCAACATCCCAAGTGGAACATAGAAGTCATGAGAACATCATCATAACCTCATTCGTCACTTATAAGTCAATTTTTTATATCAAATGACGTCATGATGACATTCTGTGTGTACCATTATAACTTAATTATGACTCCGTGTTCTACCTGGGATATCGAGAGTATTTACGCGACATTGCTTGAAACTAAATTATCATGATATTCAAACTGCAATTTTATTAACCCTTTAACGCCAAGACATTTCGAGTTTTTGAGATATTATGTTATTCTATGTAATATATTAGAAAAATATGATATTACATAGAAATATGGATTATTTAAAAAAAAAAAAAACAGAATTGACGGGCTACTTTAAGATACAAGGATATTCTTAAATTATACATTTATAGCAATTTTAAAGAATAAAATTATTGCTTATGACGAGGCGTTCAAGAGATAATAATATATGTTATTTTCATCAGTTATCAGAAGAAAGTTATGGATATATGTCGTATAAGATAGATGAGAAAAAATTCACGAGAAAATTTAATGATGTTAGTTAAGGCATTCATACAGTCTAAGGCATTTGATTTCACTCGTATCAATTCGTCGAACACGAATTGATATAAAGATACATGTTTAGCATTATAAGTACTAAGACAGTTTATTGATTATCATTATTCGGCAGATTGTAGCAATAATTACAATTCATCACGTATATTACTTACATTAAAAATTTTATTTTTATTTCCGTTTAAAATATATTTCATCAAAAATTAGAATAATAGACTTATAGAAATTTTGGACTGCTACATAATATAGCTTAATGTTTGTAAATATCTATAATTACTGTCATACAAGTTTATACAATTTGATATGTATATATTTATTACTAATAGGTTTTTATATTTTTCTTATTTATATAAAATCGAAGAAAAATTTTGGTATGTAAATGTTATTTCTAACCAATTCATGCCCATGATGAATAATATCGATATTATGAAAATTTCAATTATATCGGTACATATCTAGTACAACCAAGACTTTAGAATTTATAAGGATATTTTATAAGAATAAAAGCATGTACAATAAGATATATTGGTATAAAATTGAACTTGATATCTCGTGAATGACTGAAGGATTAAAACTAAAACCTTGTCAATGCTGATTTTTTGAATAAGATTTTCTAGCATGCACGCTATCAACGTTAAAATCATTCATTAGTTCGACATGAATGAAAGCCAATTGTTGCATATATGTTTCAGACTCACAAAGGTACTCGTCGGGCTTAGCCTATCCGTGCAACAGGTGCGGGAAGATATACAAATGGAGAGAATCTTTGAGTCTGCATAAACGAATGGAGTGCGGTATCGAGCCACGCTTTGCCTGCAATATCTGCGGCAGAAAGTTCAAACATAAGCACCATCTCATGAAACACCACAACTCAATTCACAAATATAATCAGTAATAATAAATTAAATTAATTAATGCTTTTTGTTATATTTTTTAGAAAAAACGGATAACGTACAATATGTAATTAGTCTTTTTTTATATAAACGAATGTATAGATGTTTGTTAAAGTTCAAAATTTAATTCGGGAACGATCGTCTTCTATTTTAAAACGTTGTATTTAAAATTTTCTTAAGGTAGTACTAGCATAAAATGATTTTCTTACGAATGTGCTAAAATTTAACATACAAGTAAGTTGAAGTGCTCTCTACACTGAAAAAAAAGATTGGCTGCTGCAGCAAATTAGATGGTAAAATATGGCATAGCATTTTTAATTAGCTGCAGCAGCCAATTTTT